CCTCCAATTACCAATCTTCACCTGTTTAGTTTAAATAACTAGAACCAATTGTATTCTTGTTTGATAAACTTATTGTACACATTCATACAAAATAACACGTATATATTTGCGAATGTACAGCTAAGAAAATGAATTCGCCGAAAAGAGACTCTTCGCTGATCTACGTGTTTTAGATAAGATAGGGAAGATTTGTAGCTCAAGTGGATGATTTTGATGTGGTTGTGTTCTCTGAGCTGGATGGTTAATTTGCGAAGCTTTCATCACCCTACTAGGTGACATCTTCAGCGCATACTTCAATTTGAAGTGAGCTGTTAGATTTCTCCACGAGTTTTATTAATCATCTCTACTGGTGACCTTGGACGTGATTGGTTGTTTTTGTGTGTTTTCACAACTTCTAAGTTACTTGTATTGTCATTCATTGTTTCTTTGACTTGAACTTTGACCCTTTCAAAGCTTCACACTTATTTAGAATATCTATACATGTAATGTAGATCAGTGACAGAGTTCAGACGAAATCACCAATTTGTAGTAAAGTAAGTCAACTGGATGAGTAATAACTACATTTAGACGCCCCCATGAACACGTGCTAACATGGCTGTCACAAGAAGAACGTAGAACAGTGCGTCGGTGGCACAGTGGTTAGGACTCTCGCCGACCATGCACATGGTCCGGGGTTCGACCCCCTGCCGGCGCACACCCGATATCTATGGTCGGCCTGCATAATTTGGGCTACCGATATCCAAGCTGAAAATTCCATACCTGTACCTAAAAATACAGTGTGGCATTAAGCTGTAATCAAAAATAAAAAAAATAAAAAAATAAACAGCTCAATACTAGAGCATATGATAACCTCTGATCACACACCATCGGCACACACTTCAATCGAAGACATATTCAAAGCAGGACCCCTCAAAAGGATTTCACCTGCAAATTCTTCAGGCAGCTAGAGCCTTAGCAATCCTTCAAGAGAAACCTTAACTATGTTTTCACAAACGTTTCATTCAACTAGTTTTACAACTATGGCCTTCTTTGTCTTCCCGAATAACTAACTGTATAATTGGCTCAATGTAGTCTGCTTTAAGGTTTTCGAATTACATATTCAGTCTTTTGTTACCATTTCTCATATCAACTATTTTCAAACAATTATTCATAACTCAACCAGTGAGTTGTCAACCCTTTTGATTATATCACACTATTCCTACTTTTTCAAAAATAGTTATTACTTATCCATTTTGATTTTCTTTGTTTGTAAGTGACAATATATTTTCCCCTCTGTTATCAGTCCATACTGATTTTGTATATGAAAGTAAGGTCAACTTTTGAGCTGTGTGAAATATATTTGTGATGGAATCGGAGATGAATATAGACCAAATGACAAACTTCCTAATACAAGTTACTACTTCACAGACATCATGAGGGTCATATATGATATTCGCATGTGCAGCGCCGAGATAACAGTGGCATTCAATACGCTGATGAAATCAACAACTTACAATGAGTACAAACAGGCAGGACACTACTCCTTCTACAGTCAGCAACTCCTAAGTACAAAGCAAAAGAGTAAAGAATTAGTTTATTGATAAATTTTGAAAATCATGTTTCATTTATCTGTACAAAATACCATATTGACACATCTAGTGATAGATGCATAGCAGTGTTAATCACAAAATATTCTCAAACATTTGTTCATGCAATGATTACGATGTATGCGGTCTGTGAAACTAATAACTCCTATTTGGAAGTAGAGCAGTCACTGAGTCATTTTTATCTAGTGGACGGAATATATTATCGTGATAGACGGTAAACGACATGAATGTAAATGAATGTACGTCATGTAAAATAACCATCCATCACTTCAATGTTTTACCACAAAGAAACTCTTGTCAAGTAAGATTATGAAAATTTTGTGATAGTCATTACAGAATTAATTGAATGTTATAATTACGTCGAAGATACTATGTTACCCTATCAAACAGATCATCGTTCACGGATGTTGAATCTAGACCAAGTTTCATCCTACGCTATAATTACTCTAAAGTCACCTTTCATTTCTTCATAATTAACAATAATATTTTCAAATAAAATTACATTTTGTTTGTTAATGAACCCAGCAGCTGCCACAGCGAATACCAAACACAAAACAAAAACTATTGTCGTCAGCAAAACAAACAATCCTTTTTCACTCAGTGGTGGCAGCTTTAAAGCCAACATAACCGTGATAACCGACAGCACAATTGTCAGACTAAGTGATAATAATCCAGGCATAAATTCAAGGGGTCCCAACAATGCAGGAAAGCACACAGACCACATTGTAACCTGTAACAAAATGGACGTAGAAATAACAATAATGGTTAAGTAATTGAAGTCTGATAAATGAGAATTTGAAATACACAAAATATTGAGTAATCTGAAATAACATTTCATTGCACATACAGTCAGCCAATACGCTGGAAGCCATAGTAGAATTAATTTTCACTGCTGCTTACAAAACGATTCAAGAATGAAAGCCAGCTGAAGTATTCTCGTAAATATTCATGATTCTGTATGAGTCATTTGGTGCTCTTGTATGCTAAAGGCACATCAGCAAGATTCCATGAAGTGAGTCAGAAACAAAATCTCACATCAACTTATCAGCGAATGGAGACTGGAATGGTTTGAGGTGATGATGAATTCATGATGAATTCAAATAACGTGAAATCTCTGTGACTTTTTCAGATGAAATCATCACCAACTGAGTTGCACTCTAGTCTGCAAGATAGGATAGGTCAGCAGTGTAAAGGTGTACTTACGTATCCGAATTTATCATGTGAGTAGATTTAAAATAGTCAAAAAAATCATTGCAGTAAACACAGTCGTGATTCTTAACTGGCGGTTACCTGAGTGTGTATCCAAGTGATTAGAATTTACCAGTTGTTGGTCGAGGAATAAAGTAAGTGTGTTTCACTTTAATTTCCATGCCTACTTCGTTCTCCTGACTTGAGTACTCACATCTTCTAAGGTAGTTGATGTTTTATGTTTTGTGACGACTACCTGAGTTGTCCAAATGAATGTATCTAATCGAAAACTTCAAAATGATATACCGAGGAATTACAGTTTCAAAGGACATTAACCTCATTTTAGTTTATTTTGAGTATGTTCACAAATGGTTTGCAGTTTCACACCCAATAATGTCATTCTGCATAATTAGATCTTCTCGACACTTGACGCGTCAGCAAGACATATAATCAAACATTCACAATGTGTAACCGAAACACGACTGATAAGTTTGTGGAAGTGTGCAGTCAAATCTTTATCCGAATAAATGCAATTTTGTTTATTTTATGACCGTTTGTGACTCAGACATAATTTGACATTAGTTGTTATGAAGATAAGATGAGCACTTGTGCTATTCACTTGACTAATGAAGTGTTATGACTGTCTGTTTCAGTATCACTGAGATGAAAATGAAAATATTTTTCACGTATGTCATCTTTTCATCTCGTTCACAATTTCTGTGGAAAAATTCCGTGAAATGTCGACCAGCATTCATAAATTCTGTTCGAATAATGCTTGTGTTATAACATCTCCGAGCATATACTCATTAACATGAATAAAAGCTTACTTCGCTTTACAGAAGCGATTGTTATCAAAAGACTTTAGCCCAACCTATGTATACAATACAGAAAGGTAGTGTGATTAATCTGTCACTTCCCTGCCTGGTAACTGTAATTGTTTTGATCTGTTGCGCAACATTCCACTCAATCTGAGTTGAACTCACTATTAAGGATGCAAATCTACCCAGTTAAATTATGTTATCTGTCTTATAATTTTGATTTATTATTCACTGTCACCATCCTGAACTCTAAACCATAATATGTATCCATTAATTCTGATTTTCTATCCTGTATTTTATCTGTAGTCCATTTTTGTTTCCCCCACAAATTTGACTTCCACAACCATTGTCTAATCACTACATAAATAGTTACACTTTTAACACTCAATAATTGTCTACTTACATCACCCGTGAAATTAAGCTGCCTATACTCTCTCTTCCTGTGTATAACGTGAAATCATTGTAGAAAATAAGTTCAGAAATTTCGTAACACATAATGAAATGTTTTATTTAGGATGTACGCAGTAGAATAGAATCCAAGAAATGAGCTCGCATTATCCTCCGAATTGGTTGGTTATTTCTTAATTCGGAATAACAATGTCGTGTTGTGAATCAAATGGGTGATTAAGTGAATGCACTTATGGTGACTGTGGACGACTACAAAACCTTACAGTTACGATTCGTTGGTTTTGTTTCCGAAATGATGTGAATTCTTACGGTACCATGTAAGATAAAAATAAAAATGATACTCACTGTTAATCCAAGCAGTATGCGAACAATGAGACAGTGCATTTGAAGCTTCTTCACGAATAGAAAGAGAAGTAGTGGGATGAAACCACCTAGCCTAAAATGAATTCACAAATATCTCAATCATCACACACTTGATCAAAATAAATTCATTATCAGATTACTTCATATCAAGCCGTAGTTGTCAAATAATCAAATGTTTGTTGAGCAGACACAAGAGCACAAAGGTAGGCAAATAAAAATAGTGCGATAATCTTAGATGCATAGATTTAGGTGGAATAATATAGAAAATAGAGTGAAAGTGTCTATCTCCACGCCCACCTTTATTGTCTCCAGTGGATGCAGAAATACAATTCTACAAATTCAGTAGAACTTCACTCAAAAATTCTTTCTTTCCATGTCTTAATTCTTGATGTTGTTAACATCGTCCTAATGTTCTTCATTCTTGCAATACACTGGATGTACCAATTTTCCCATTTCTTGCGTATTCCAATTACTCGAATTATATTGTTTGCGTCAGATATCAGCATGATAGATGAAGATCCACTTAGCTACTGCGTAAACTGTTTTGTAGCACACTTATCCTTGTCTCATCCAGTTTCATGGAATTGTCTGCAGTGATTGAAGTGACTAGGTAACTTTTGGCGAAATTCTTCCAATGCAAATATATCATTGTACACCTAGCTCAATTCCCGTGTGCTGAATAAACTGATATGATATGATATCTTACTGCTCAAGATACTGAGGTTCACTGTACAGAGTTAGTTGCTTAGTCGCAGTGTGTCACCAAAATTTCCTAGTCCACTGTTACTATCATCTTTAATCCCTTCCTAATCTTCGTAAAATCAAACACACACACACACGACTTCGAATACACGCTTTCCATTTGATATCAGTTTTGACATCTTCATTTCTTTATCACTTTCATTGACTTTGCTATTTTCAAAATAACGTCTTCCTTTTCTTTGAGTATGAGCAGGAATCACCACATGGTTTCAGAGTGATAGTTACATAATATCGAATTATTTTTAGTTTTTGATACTCTCAATCGCACGTTGACTGCAGAAATTACCAATCTCCGTAGTTTTCTCACCTATTTGACCTAATCTGTGTCTCCCTACATTCTGTGAGATGATCTTGATTGTGAGAAATAATTCGAACACAACAAACCTCACTGACACCATTCTGTACTCATCCTTCATGCTTTCGCTTCATTTGTGAATCTATCATGAGAAATCACTCCTTATTATTCTTCCCACTCATGAGCTATTTCATTCCATGTATTATAGAATTCAGCAGTGAGAAGCAACTGAGACATCATGCAATTCAGATGAAGTCTAATTGTCCTGCAGCTATCTCCATCATCAAATTGAGGGTAATGAAATGCGAATAAATACAGGTTGTTATGACATAAAAAGAAAATATTCGGAGGGCTTCATCCTGTAACGCTAGAAGACGAAAGGACTTGGTTAAGGAATGTTTATTTGCAATTTGGTGTCTCCATATAGCCAAGTAATATACACCTTATCTTCAAATCAGCACTTGCACAGATCTTCCATGTTGTGCTACTTCTGCCCTCCACTCATTTTGTGGTTCTTTGAGTTCCTTTCACGTCTCCCATGTATCTCCGCAACACTGGATCGTTTGCTTTCTCTGACATCAAATCTGTCTACCTGCTATCTGATGTTTAATGCCGTTGAACATTTCTTGTGTGTGTATTTATATGCATATATACTACTGGAAAATCATGTCAGTAGCACACGCACCAATCAGACTGTTTGCAGAATTTATTTAAGGGTAACGTGGAATGATTTTGAGCAATACGCAAGAGCTGACATTATAGTCAGTGAATAAATAAGACAATATCCCTGTGTTCTGTGTCATATATATATATTCATCCCATTCTACAGCATGTCACATTACTGACTCCAAAGTTCTTCAGGTAGTGTACGAATGCGCGTAAATTCAATACAACATATAAGTAAAATGTCATTTCCAATGAAATACATTTGCATATGTAGACATAAAATGTTCAATCATGTTGAATAATCAACTTACAAAATAAGATATTTCACGTAAGCATGGTTCATGGAGAACTCGCGAAGTTCTTTTCTACAAAACAAATGCAAATTAACTTCAATTTAAGCTAACATTATGCTCAACAAAGTGACGATCACAAAGGTCATCAACACCATCCATGTGGCGTCCACGACGAACTAACAATGAAAATCAGTTGAAGAAAGCGTAATGTCCTCACACAAATAACTTGTTTCACAGAGAATGGTTGTCCTACCAGATTTACACGTTTCAATTTCTTGTCAGATGTATAATTACGTGCCATAATCCCATCAGCTGCATTTGTTTTCATATTTGTGCTGAAAAAATGAAGATATTAACAAAATTGGAAAAATTAAATGACACTAACACAAATATGACAAATTCATTACAATAAAAGTATTCTTGCTTGAACTGACTTTCACAATACGTGATGAATTATTCAAAATCAATCAGAAAATGGCTTTTTGGTAATATTATGGAATGTTATACCTAATCAAATTTGGAGATTAACGGTTACCTCTGTTGTGTCAGTAGTTCAGTGGTAGAACGCTTGCCATCCATTCACATGGTCTAGGGCTCGATTCTCGGCCGACCACTCCTTAACCTCTCTAAGCCAATTGCAATGCCCGTGTAAAGGGAGGTTTGTGTGTGGGACCAACAGCCACAACTCGTAGGAACAAAACCACTGACACTTAAACATCAATTCAGTATCCTCAGTAACCAACTCATTCACCCTCCATTATATATCAAATAATGGTAACGAAAAATCGGAATCTTTATGCTCCCATTCTTACAACTTGGCTTCATCTTAACTGTCGGAAATGGTGAATCGCTATCAAACCATAATTTTGCAAATTAAATAAAGTTTCAGTTCATGTGAGGCGAGTTTCTAGTGAGGTCTGAAAAATATACAGCCAACAAACCGCACTACTCATCTACGAATTGACCATCAAAAGGAATAAGCGCATCAGTTTTGTCTGACGCAACTTAAATCAGACTGTAATATCACTTCAAAACGGTAAACCCATGTCGGCTGTGTATGTTTATTAAACCACATCAATTGAGCAGTATCAATTTAACTACAGATTGCACATATGCGTTTGTTAGATCAACGATTACAAAACCAAGACTGGTGTTCAATATTCTGTAATCGACGTGAAAATCCACAGAACTCATCATAAGCCATGCTATCCGAATGTTTCACATAAATGTGCTTTCATCGCTTCCATATACTTCAGACACTTCATGTCTATCAAAGAAATCATTTCCAACAGACTTTCGACTTTCACTGATGGCTGCCTTCATTGGATACTGAAGATCAGTTGGGTTGGCACAAAGCATGAACAACAAGTGACGCTGAAAGAGAGCGTATCATTGAGAAATTTATCATCGGTGAAATATGCAGAAGAGGATGTAGATAAGTCAGACATAACCTGAGACGACCACCAAGTGACATTAGAAAACTAGCAGGCCTTCTAGTGGGAAATCAAAGAAAAGTGATTGGTTCTGGTGCCAGGAGGAGACTGTGAAGATGAAATCTGCTAGGCAGTGGTGAAACTAGCCTAATGTGATAACAGAAAAACAAATGCAATGTAGGTGAACCGCAGAATCCATTACTTCCACTAAGAATGCGTGGAATAAATAATATTAATAATAGTAATGACGATAAATCAGGTTTAGGAAAATTTCAATAAAATCTACACTCCTCTTGTTATTATGAAAATCGATGAACACTCCACAATCAATCAAAAATTAGACATACCGAAGAAAATAAATAATCAGTTAATTAAACCTACAGAACGTAGCTCCTCTCTTGTAATCTCTCAGGTAGAATATGATCACGTATTTGTGCATATATATTCATCAAAACTGTCGATAATTATCATTACCTTATTGATTGTTCATAATGCTTCACATTTCTCAATGTTTTATCGTATCACGCAACAAGTGGTTTCAGTCATAATCATCCAGTTATGTGCGTTGTATATAAATGAATGTCGCTTAACAAATTAGTGTAGTACTAACACACACAAACAAAATCTGTTGACGAGTGTAGTTATGAGCTAGTTCTTTCAAATCGAAAGTACCATTCAAAGTGCAAAGGTTCCATATCGAAATTCAAGGACGACGTCACCTAACAAACAGACATCGACAGTAATTAAAATAGATGAAACATAGAAAGAAATACATGAATTATGAAAACTGAAACAAAATAGTGCGATGTGCGATATACTACCGAGTGATGGATTCAAGTAGGTGCCAACCATTCATGTTGAATGGAAGTTGCTGCTGTCCAGATAGAACCTGAAACAACTATTTTAGTTACATATACAACTTTTGTGATGAATATTCCTACAGAAAGATATAGATTTCTCCAGCTGCTTTCATTAGCAAAAGTGTAAGAAGAAGACTACGTTTGACATGTAAATGGCGTTGATTTTGATTTGTGAGTGCTGAATACAATTATCAAAATCAAGCACCTCATCTACTTGATAAACAAGATTCATGGCATAATATCCTCACGTGGAGGTATTATAACAAGGCAAGGTGAGGAATATCCTCAAATATACCGATGATATCAGACTCGTATTTCCAACATTAATGTAAGATTAATGCTTCCATTTGGTTCAGAGAATTGACACGTACGTTAAGCAAATTGATTCCAACAGGCTGAAGGCTTCTGACAACAGCTGCTTTCCCTGGATCGATACAGAAGAACAGAGGGCCAGCAAGGATTAGCAATATAGGACAATGGGAGGGGTAAAATGATATGAAACATTTTGTTAAATTCAAGACCACTGAGAATCCTTTTGCAGTCTGAACACTAACTACTAGGCAGTCATAAATAATTCATCAAAGACATGTTGTTTGTTGGAGTCCAAGGGATGGTAGGAACAAGTGAGTGCTTGAGACAATTGTTGACATGTATGAAAATCATTCACAATGAGTAACACAGAAGCATTCACTCTTTGTGATTTATCATACCCAATAAATTGCTTTCTCCTTCCAAATTACTATACTTTTCCGTCACTCACACTTCTGCCTTTTATCTCTCATTCTGTTCAATCACACATTGATCTCTCTCCCCTTACTTTATGTGCTGAAATCAGAGAAAGAAGGTAATACAAATGGAACACATTTGTGCAAGGGAGTTTGTGGTGATTGACAATTCCTATCACTATTGTTCAAATACTTACTGTTGTTTGTTCATATTTTTTATGTGAATTAAAAATTATTCCGTCAATTACAAATTCGTAAATTCATCCCTCTCTGTGTTGTTGACTGATTTCCTGTAATTCAGTCATTGCGAAATACTACTATTACAAATAACTATAACATTTTTGCGTCGCTAGGGAATTAAATAGTCTTCGAAAGTTTCCTATGAATGGTTGACCGCGAGAAATTGCTGATTATCTTCAATGCTTCGATGCATGGTGCTTGTGGTAGGATGTTCGCGATGACAAAATGTCAGCTCATTTTGTTACTGCAATTGGGTTAGATTCGTACGGCCTGGCAAAAACCCTGTCACTGCCAGATAAGCCAATTTCTCTGTCATATAATAAACTCCGTGAACATCTAACACATTACTTCTAAATAACAACTTTCGAAATACGACAGAAAGCTCAGTTCAAGAAACCTAATCGTGCTCCTAACCAGAAGATCAGAGACTTTATTCTTCAGCTACAGATAAAAGCTTCAAAATGCAACTTTGCGGATCAGCTCCATACTCAACTACGCAATGGTCTAATTGCTATGATGGATATTTTGAAGTTAGAGAAAGAGTTGATTCAGATGTTTTCAAACTGCTAAGGATTAATGTATTAAATTTGAAGATATCCACAGTGAATTCGCAGCTCACACTAAGTCGGTGTCTGATGTCATGTTGTCTTATGTTGATAATACATGTTTTCATAAAAAGAAATCTAGCGACATCGACATATGATGGAATGCAGACAGAAAGCAAAAGATAAACCATGTTTTTCATGTGGAAAGATTCATTTACGAAGCACATGCTGTTTTCGGAGTGCTAAGTGCCATAAACTTGGTAAAATTGGCAACATTTAGTATGTTTGCAGAAGTTCAAATACTTGTGCTACTTATGATTCTCCCAATGTGTCTGGTAAAATGCAGTCAAAGTGTCTTTCAACTTTTCACAGCGATGTATCTCATCTAATGAGAACCTTCACTACAAGTTCAGGCAAGGCTCACTGTATTATAAATGATACTGGGAGTACTGAGTCTATAACTTC